CACACACACACACACGACAGAGAGGGTTTGGAGTCATTAAATACCGTGGAAGTGACGAACCGCGGGGTCCTGATCTCTGCGTGACACACACACACACACACACACATTAACATAGACTGCTCATGTCGGTAGCGGGACATGAGTTTTCTTTGTTCCTGAGAGAAAAGAAAAGCATGAATTGATTTGTCAGTTTGTCGATAGAGAAAAACAAAACTTCTTTTATCAATATTCGCGACAAAATCACATATCCCAATTTTTTCAATTTTATGGTTTTCTTTTGGGTTGAAGAGTTTATTTGCGACCTATGGTCTCTTTAAGACTTTTGTTCCTCTTGATGAGCAGAATTTTTTAAGCCAATAAAAAAGTTTGACCTAAAATTTCAAGGTCAAGATCAATTTTGCGGATGCAACTTTTTTCAGATCTTTACCGATCTCGATCTGGAGAATCATCTGTCAAAGCCATGACATATAATTTTTTACCACCCGGTACTTCCCTCTTGTTTGAATGCAGATAATTGGCTAAACATTGCTGGTGACTTCGAGACAAAATGGAATTTTAACCATTGTATTGGAGCAATCGATGGGAAACATGTTCTTCTTCAGGTATATTATACATATGTAAAGATAATATATGTATAAAGTAAGGATAAATTATATAAATTCTTGAAAATTATTTTCAGTGCCCAGATAATGCAGGTTCTGCATATTTTAATTACAAACATAGCCATAGCATCGTATTACTTGGAATTTGCAATGCAGATTATATTTTCACCTTTGTTGACATCGGAGGTTATGGCCGACGCAGTGACGGTGGAATCTTTAGAGATTCTATAATAGGTCACAAATTCAACAATCATGAAATGAATTTGCCAAAACCAGCATCTCTTACAATAAATGGGCCACCTTTACCTTACGTGCTTGTAGGAGACGAAGCATTTCAGTTAACAGAATACTTACTTCGGCCATATCCTGGAAAAGGCATTTTAAATCAAGAACGAACCATTTTTTATTACCGTCTTAGTCGAGCCAGAAGAACGATTGAAAATACTTTTGGTATTTTGGTCAGCCGTTGGAGAATTTTAAAACGACCAATTATTTGTACGGTTGAAAAATCCATGAAAATTGTACAAGCTATTGTATGTCTGCACAACTTTCTTCGTATTCAAGATATCGGAGTAAACCAATATGTTGATGACACACTTATTGATCAAGATAGACCTGATGGGTTTGTTGCTGGTTCTTGGAGAGAAGACATCGAAATTAGCGCGTTAAGAGATATTACTACATGTGGTAATAATAATAGTACACGAAACGCAATCGAAATTCGTGAGAACTTTTGCAATTATTTCAATACTGAAGGAGTTATACCATGGCAATTTAATAATGTTTAATTATAAATATTTTATACAGGATACATTACGTTAAAAAATCCATGATTATAACGTTCTAAATATTAGATTTATAATAACATTTTCTATGATTTATTTTTTTTTATTATAACACTGTATTTTTTAAAATAAAAATGTAAAAATTAATAATTGTGATATTTTAAAAAATGTAAACATTGGGTTGGAATGAAATAAAACCTCTGATAACCAGTTATTCAACACTTAGTTTATTTAGAAACATTTAAATATTTATTCAAACATTTTAAAGATTACTAAATGTAAATATATTATTTAATAATAAACATTAACCATAAAATAAAAAATAAAATATTTTTATATTGAAGTAATGCACGTTATACAAATTTAAATTGTTTTTCAAAAAAAAAATCTTATTGTATGTTGCTTTTTATATAAAATGTTATTCATAAATGTTTTCATAAATATATTATTATTAAATAATATATTTACTAAATGTAAATATATTATTTAATAATAAACATTGACCATAAAACAAAAAATAAAATATTCTTATATTCGAGTAATGCACGTTATGTAGATTTGAATTGCTTTTCGGAAAAAAAACCTTATTGTATGTTGCTTTTTATATAAAATATTATTCATAAACGTTTTCTTGGATAATTCATACGTTAATTGTAATATGTTTTGCATTATTTCTAATCTAGTCTTTGGTGGCATTTTCTGTAATCTAAATCCCACTAAACTTAAAAAAGAATCTATTTCATCAGGTTCTGGTGGTGGAGGTAAGGTTATATTCTTTTCTTGACAAATAGCGTCCGCAATTCTCTCTATCGCATCTGTCGACCCATCATTTGTTTTCTTCTTTTTTCCTTTACTGGAATCTAGAATATAAAAAAAATTATTCTTTTTTTAATCTTAATTATTTTTAATATAATAATTTGACATGGTTCAACAACTGTACCTGTTCGGATGTTTTCTGCATTATCTTCATCATCCATTAACGATAAGTTTGAATCATCATTATTTATATTAGACACCGTGCTGTAATATTATTTAGAATTAATCAAATAATATATATGTCATATAATTATTTAATAAATTTAAATTACTTATAAAAAAGTATATGTTTGTTCCGCCAATAGTTGATTAACGAAAAATCTATTTTTATAGTCGACAACGTTTGGCTATTAGTGTCGTGACAAATCGACTGTGGCGGTCAGCTGTCCGCCACAACGCGCGACGGTGCGCGCGCGACGACGGCAGTAAGACGGGAGGCGCGCGGCGCGAGCAGCGGCACGGTATCGATCGGCCGGGCAGTTCAACGCGCGCCCGCTACGCGGCGCATCGCCGGTCGATTCTCTCGTAAGTAAGGTTCGACATCGATTCTTATATAAAGGGCAGCTCAGCGGGACCTCTCCAGCGATCAGCTCACCAGTCAGGGTGTGCTATTATCAAGGCCCCTGACATTATCTCTTTTGAAGACGGAGCGTGCTCTTTAGGGCCTCCGTTTGATACGGAGCGTGCTCATTCCGGGCCTTCGTTTATACCTGCTTTGCAGGGCATTAACTCTCCGCGGTAAAGTCGACAGACTCCCTGCCGTGGAAAGGTTCCTGGATCGTTTACGACCCAGCTCACCGGACAACACCGAGACCAAGGCGCTGCCTTCTCCAACTCCGATTCCGACTCCGATTCCTACACCTGGGGCCACGACGAAGGGTCTGTTCCTGATCTCCAAGGTGGATACTTTCCTCCCGTGAAAGCCACACCTCATCGACCGGCCAACCCGAGTACCACACGTCTCTGTGGTGACACACTCACTGGCCTCGTCTTCGAGATTCACCGACCGGCCAACCCGAGTACCACGCATCTAACTCCAACCGGAGCACTCTGTGGTGACGCACTCACCGGCCTCGTCTACGAGAACGTCAAGACTCCTCTCCAAGCTCGGCCTCAGCGAATCTAATTATTCGGGACGGATAATACGCAACACACCGCGTTAACACTACACATTAATCTTCTACACAAATCACACTCGTCCACCTATCCGTACACATCCAAGAAATAATTTACCTGTACATAGAGCATGAATAAACCTAGCGAGATTCTACCTAATTGAATGACTGGTTATTGTGGGAACCGACGCACCTTAATCCTAACCAACTACCCCACATCGACCATTGGTTTTGGTCAGATTAAATGTCAAGACGTTTTTAATCACGGGTTTTGGTCTTTTTTAAATATTTATGCTTACATTTTTTGAAGACAAGAGTCTTTAAGGAAACTCATTGAATGATAATGAGGCCATTTTTGGATTGTGTCCTTCCTGGCAGATCCACTCATTCGTTGTTCTGATTGTATGATTTTGCGAAACGTATCATGCAAAGATTTGAACTTTTATTGCGTTTCTTTTGCACTTATTTTACCTACAAAGAATATAAATTTATTATTTTGTTTAAATATTTTTCATATTATTTTTATACTCACCATTTAATGCCAAAGCTATTTCTGACCACAACCGTTGTTTTATTGTAGATTTGCGTTGTAGCAAAGGTAAAGAATAATCCCACAATGGTGGGCGTTTTTCCACTTCAAGAATTAAGAATTCCACATCATCAAAATTTAATTTGTTTCCTGCGCTATCATTTAATTTTGAACGTTTGTTAGATATTTGTTTTACTTGTCCAGAAACTTTTCGTTTTCCTTTTTGGGATATGTGTACAATATTATCTAAAAAAATTATTTTTAGAAAGATGATCTCTCTATATTTAAGATTGTTTTTTTACTTACTTCCACAGTTATTATAAAACGGCTCATCTACTAATTGTTCCACGTTATTTATATTGCTTCGTCTCACAATAGTTGTGCCATCATCTAAAAAATATTAAAAATATTAATATTTGTTTCAGTAAATATAGAAAGAAAATAAAAAACATCATATTAATCATATATTAAAATTTTTGAGTAATTATAATTACAAACATTACAGCACATTGTCTAACATAAATATAATATTGTTTAACATTGAGGATGATTCAATCTCATCTTTAATGCATAATGAAAATGACACAGAAAGCATTCAAATAGATACAGCTAAAACATCAAATTATTTTCAATAATTAAGAAAAAAGCTTTTTTATATTATAGGTTCCAGTGAAAAAAAAAAGAAAAAAATAATGTTTCTACAAGTGCAATAGAAAGAAAAATAGATGCTATATGTAAAAAAAACAATATAATCTTTTCTTCTCCATCCAAACTTTACACACACACACACACACACACACACACACACACACACACACACACCTGCTAATGGATAAAAATATAAAGTATTTGGATCAACGGCATAAGAACTGTATCCTTCTAGGCAACCATGCTCTGCAATATCCTTTTGACCGCATATCTGTTCGCATACTCCACATGTTTGCACAAGTTCACAATCCTAGAAATAAAAAATAATATATTTGTTCATCAATTCTTTTATTAGATGTAACATTTTTTATTATATATTTACATATTTTAATTACATATTTACAGACTTAAAAATATGTTACTTATTCTTTAAATATGCAGAATGTATATCTCCTCAATGTAAACAAAGCTTTATATTGCAAACTTTGATGAATATCTTGATTGATGAATGATGAAAGGATGCACAGCATTGTAATATAATATACTATTATTTAATAAAATAACTATTTATCAAACTGAATTTAAACATATAACACAAACTACTATACATATATATATGTATATATATGTATAACATAAACTTATAGGATAATTAAAGTAGAAATTGCATTAAATAAATACAATAATGCCGATTCTCTTTGATAAACTTTCTAACCTCAAAAAGTAACATTTAATTTATTACTCTTTTTATAGTATTGGATAACATATTTATTATTATTTTCATATTCTACACATCACAATATGCAATAATATGAAATTTTATCCAAATCAAGGAGGAGATGTATATATTTCTCTGCATTCTCGTTTTATATTTTGCCTTTAATAATAAAAAAATTCATTTATAAAAAATAAAAATTTAAATTAAATAAATAACTAATATAATATATTACTTACATCTTGTTCCATTTTGAATCAGGCACGATCAGGTACGATGCAATACGTATATACCAGCACATACGGCCACAGCCACGGTTTGATGCTAAAGCTGAGAAAATCCAGCTTTCTTTACTTGACGCTAGCGTCAAATCGAAATCACGTGATCACGCGATACGCTGAAACGAGCGTCCCATGAATTCGCACCTTAATGCGCAAGCGTGAATGTGTCGGGACGGGCGTGAAGCCCGCCGAACAAGCAATCGTCTTCCGGCTAGCGAGGCGTAGAGTCGCGTTCTTTTACACGGCGTCGTATATTCGTTTAATTGCTACGCGATTGAAATCCGCCAGACTATTGAGTCTGAGACAGATCACGAGGACGTCTCCGTAATATCAGAGGAAGCATTGCAGCCCTGCTCAGAAGCGATTGAAAGTACCTCGCTCGATACGACCAAGGTCGGTAAATGGACGACGGCGCAAAGGAAGGTCTTCTCACGGGCGCCATTTTGGGTCCACGAAGTATGTGTGAGTGTGTGTCGTACGAGAGCGGCAGTCTGTATTGGTCTTTCAGGTTTGTATTCTGTACATATGAAATCGAACACTATTATCGAGCATTATTATTGAGCATTATTAATTACATTTACAGTCACGGTGACACTACGAGAAAAGCGACTGTGTAAAATAGGAGGTAGTGTAAAATTTGTGGAAGGAAGAAAATATTTAGTTCGAAACGGAAATACATTAATAATGCCAGCTTGTTGTACAAAGAATTGTCGTAATCGTGCGGAACAAGGATTTCGTTTATTTAGATTTCCTCGCGATAAACAGCGTAAAGAAATTTGGAGCAAGCAATGTAATACATATCCGAAAGAGAATTCGAGGTTATGTGAGGTATTGATAATATTATTTGATGTAAATAATAATTGTATACTATGGTGTTCAATTGAACACTGTACAATTGTAAAACCTAGTACAGGACAATTTGCAAACCAAAAATTATTA